AAGGCTGATACAATCTTACACAAGATGATCATTATCAGATGTTCTATAACAGGTAGGCAAACTTTTAGCAGTAATTAGCCAAATCAAGACTTTTAAGTTCCTTGGTGTGCCGGTCCTATATTTAAAAAAAATGACTTGTGTGTAATTTTCTGTATGCTGCTTCTGATATGTACAGGTGCTGCAGCTGCTTTGCATGTTGCATATGGGTGCAATTGGCTATGTTATAATGTATATGTGCATGAGCAGTTTATGGTATTGTAGTGTCCCCCAATGCACACTGCTAGGACAGATTGTTACACATTGCCACAAATACACTGCTCAAAAAATAAAGGGAACACTTAACCCCTTAAGGATGGAGCCAAATGTACACGTTGTGAACGAAACAAAATGTAAACAAAACCTGGCATTTGCGCTACATGTCTGTCCAACCGTAATTCACCTCTTTCATATTAAATGCACCCACCCTTATTATATATCATTTTATTCAGGGGAAACATGGCTTTCATTTAATATCAAATATTTAGCTATGAAACATAATTTAATATGAAAAAAATGGGAGAAAATAAGATTTATTTGATGTTTTTAGTTCTACATGACATTTTAACTGTCAATGTCATAATACTGTTTGCTTTTACTGCAATAAAATACACATATTTGTATTCAGCAAAGTCTCACGTGTAAAACAGTACCCCCTATGTACAGGTTTTATGGCGTTTTGGGAAGTTACAGGGTCAAATATAGCATGTTACATTTGAAATTGAAATTCGCCAGATAGGTTACGTTGCCTTTGGGACTTTATAGTAGCCAGGAATGAAATTTACACCCATAATGGCATACCATTTGCAATAGTAGACAACCCAAGGTATTGCAAATGGGGTATGTCCAGTCTTTTTAGTAGCCATTTGGTCACAAACACTGGCCAAAGTTAGCGTTAGTATTTGTTTGTGTGAAAAATGCAAAAAACGCCAATTTTGGCCAGTGTTTGTGACTAAGTGGCTACTAAAAAATACTGGACATACCCCGTTTGCAATACCTTAGGTTGTCTACTATTGCAAATGGTATGCCATCATAGGGGTAATTTTCATTCCTGGGCTACCATAGGGTCTCAAAGGCAACGTAACCAATCTGGCGAATTTTAATGTGAAAAAAATGAAGCGCAAGCCTTATATTTGACGCTGTAACTTTTGAAAACACCATAAAACCTGTACATGAGGGGTACTGTTGTACTCGGGAGACTTCGCTGAACACAAATATTTGTGTTTCAAAACAGTAAAAAGTATCACAGCAATAATATTGTCAGTGTAAGTGCTGTTTGTGCATGAAAAAGGCAAAAAACAACTGTTACTGGCGATATCATCGTTGTAATACACTTTACTGTTTTGAAACACTAATATTTGTGTTCAGCGAAGTCTCCAGAGTAGAACAGTACCCCCCTTGTACAGGTCTTATGGTGTCTTGGAAAGTTATAGGGTTAAATATAGTGCTAGCAAATTAAATTCCCTTTACTTTCGGCATGGGTTGTCAGGCAGGTCCCGCTAATTGTAATTAATTAAGATACCTAATTATGTAAAAATATTACATAAATATATATGTAGAATATATGTGTATATATATATATATATATATATATATATATATATACATATGTGAATCTATATGTGTGTATATATATATAATTTAAAAAATATATATTTTTATTTATATATAGGTATATATAGTGATATATACGTATATATTTATGTATGTAGATATATATATTATTTCGTTCTACGTGTATTTTGATATATATATATTAATATCACAATACAGTCAGAACGAAATAACACAGATCTATATATTTTTTTATTATTTTTTAAAATTATTTTTTAATTTTATTTTTTAACGTATTTACATATTTAATTTTTTATATTATATATAAATATATATATAACAATAATTATATATATATATTTAATCAGTATCAGTCTACGTGTAATTTGATATTAATATATATCTATAATTATATATATATTAATAGTAAAAAACACCTAGACAGTGTACGTGTGTGTATGTATATGTGTATATATATATATACTTAGATCATATATATATAGTATATATATGATCTAAGTATACATTTTTTTTTTTACACTTTTTAATTTTTTTTATTTTTATTTTCAACCAACAGGGGGACGACCTGTCATTACAGGCAGCCCCCCTGCTGGCAATGCAGGAGGCAGCCTACCCGGCCATGTGATTGTGAGGTCCTCGCAAGGACCTCACTCTCACATGGCCGGGGGGCAACGGAGGAGGAGGATCTGCCGCGGGGTAAGTAATGAAAGACATGAGGGCGTACAATTACGCCTGGCGGCGTTTAGAGCCGCCTAAAATAGGGTGTAATTGTACGCCCTTCGGTCTTAAGGGGTTAAACAACACAATGTAACTCCAAGTCAATCACACTTCTGTGAAATCAAACTGTCCACTTACGAAGCAACACTGTGTCAATTCCACATGCTGTTGTGCAAATTAGATAGACAACAGGTGGAAATTATAGGCAATTAGCAAGAACCCCCAATAAAGGAGTGGTTCTGCAGGTGGTGACCACAGACCACTTCTCAGTTCCTATGCTTCCTGGCTGATGTTTTGGTCACTTTTGAATGCTGGCGGTGCTTTTACTCTAGTGGTAGAATGAGACGGAGTCAACAACCCACACAAGTGGCTCAGGTAGTGCAGCTCATCCAGGATGGCACATCAATGCGAGCTGTGGCAAGAAGGTTTGCTGTGTCTGTCAGCGTAGTGTCCACAGCATGGAGGCGCTACCAGGAGACAGGCCAGTACATCAGGAGACGTGGAGAAGGCCATAGGAGAGCAACAACCCAGCAGCAGGACCGCTACCTCTGCCTTTGTGCAAGGAGGAACAGGAGGAGCACTGCCAGAGCCCTTCAAAATGACCTCCAGCAGGCCACAAATGTGCATGTTTCTGCTCAAACGGTCAGAAACAGACTTCATGAAGGTGGTATGAGGGCCCACCATCCACAGGTGGGGGTTGTGCTTACAGCCCAACACCGTGCAGAATGTTTGGCATTTGCCAGAGAACACCAAGATTGGAGCCCTGTGCTCTTCACAGATGAAAGCAGGTTCACACTGAGCACATGTGACAGACGTGACAGAGTCTGGAGACGCCGTGGAGAACGTTCTGCTGCCTGCAACATCCTCCAGCATGACCGGTTTGACAGTGGGTCAGTAATGGTGTGGGGTGGCATTTCTTTGGGGGGCCGCACAGCCCTCTATGTGCTCGCCAGAGGTAGCCTGACTGCCATTAGGTACCGAGATGAGATCTTCAGACCCCTTGGGAGACCATATGCTGGTGCAGTTGGCCCTGGGTTCCTCCTAATGCAAGACAATGCTAGACCTCATGTGGCTGGAGTGTGTCAGCAGTTCCTGCAAGATGAAGGCATTGATGCTATGGACTGGCCCGCCTGTTCCCCAGACCTGAATCCAATTGAGCACATCTGGGACATCATGTCTCGCTCCATACACCAACGTCACGTTGCACCACAGACTGTCCAAGAGTTGGCAGATGTTTTAGTCCAGGTCTGGGAGGAGATCCCTCAGGAGACCATCCGCAACCTCATCAGGAGCATGCACAGGCATTGTAGGGAGGTCATACAGGCACGTATGAGGCCACAATAGGGATAAATCTACAATACAATAATAACAGAAAAAAACATAGCATAATACTGTTAATGGTAAAGGAAGAGTGGAAATATAGATGATAATTCGCACTCACAAACCAAAATTGATTGTAGGCATATCTTATAGAACGATGAATATCTCAGGATAAGTGGAACGTCAGGATGTACATAGAAGGAAATAAAACAGCATAATAGTGCAGAGTGTCTTAATAAGAAAATACACTTTAATAATAAGGCACACTTACAATATTGTAGTGGCAAACAGGCATATAAAAAACCACCGGTCTTGGGATCATAAGATGAATCACAGGATCAACAGGATCAAATATAACCAGCAGGTCAAAATAAAATAAAGTAAAACAACCTGATAAGATAATAAAAAACTCTAAACACTATAAATACTGTGAAAAAGCCCTACGCGTTTCGTTCAAACGTCCTTGAACTTCCTCAGGGGCAAAAAAGTCCTTCTGTATGCAGGTATAGCTGTCCACATAGTGTACCTGGCTTTTAAATCCGTCCGGTTTGGCGCGCCGAAAAACTCCTCCAATTGTTCACTTACTTCCGGGTTCGTCTATCTGTAGTGCTTCCGGATGCGACCTGTTGACGCAACCAGAAATGCGGCTCACGTCTCTCTTCCGGATCTCTATCTATGCGTTCCACCTGATATACGTTCCACCTGATATGCGTTCCACCGCTCAAAGAGCGGAGAACAACCACAATTAATGAGAGAAAAATTTAAGAACATATGTATATATAAGTAATGTTAATTATATTCATAATGATAATCTCAGAACATGACAATATTATCCAGATACTGTAAAACCTTGCCAATATTCTTCTTTTAATAAAAAGTATAGAATATGGCATAACAAATTATTATTATATTCCCAAAAAATACACAGAAGATACATAAAGTTAATTAAACAACATTGCTAAAAACATACATTTGTCAATATTAAAGCTATATACAAGAACAATGTAAAAGTGCAAAATTGTCAATTTAGAGAAAGCAAACCAAATCAAAATCGACGTTAAGTCCCCTAGGTTGCATTGTTTGTAGAGTATGTATCCAATATCCCTCTCTTTTTCTCAATAATAACATTAGATCACCTCCTCTTTCATCCAAGGCCACTTGTTCAATGATGGTACATTGGAGGGTATTGAAATTAAAAGCTGGACATTTATTACAGTGTACTGGCACTGAATGTGTCAACATATGATTTTTGATATTATTTCTATGCTCCTGGAACCTAATTTTTGCTTTTCTTCCCGTTCTTCCCACATATTGTAGCCCACATCCGCATGTGAGTAGGTATACAACATGTGTTGAAGAACAGGATAAAGTGTTCTTGATTTTAAATCTCCTTCCATTAACCGTACTCACAAAGCTCGTGATGCTGTTGTATTTATAGTTACAACTAACACAACTCCCGCATGTGTAGTAACCTTCTTTACGTTTTGTTTTGCTCTTTCTAGATCTAAAAGTACTTGGTGCTAGAATTTGCTTTAAATTGACTCCTCTCCTAAAAATAACTTTGGGTAAAAGAGGAATCTGTTGATTGAGATATTCATCCTCTATTAATAACCCCCAATGTTTTTTAAAGATCCTCTGTATATCAAAGGCCTTAGAGCTATATTGCGTGTTAAAGGAAAAATCAAATACAGAATTCCTAAAGGTATCCTTTCTCTTATCAATAAGGAGATCGTTACGGTTGATACTTCCCACCCTATTGATCTCTGCATCCAAAAGTTCTGGATTATAACCTTTCTCCAGAAAACGATCTTTTAAAACTTCAGCTTGTGTATAAAATGAATCTAGATCACTGCAATTTCTGCGCATCCTAATAAACTGGCTTTTGGGAACCCCCTTTAGCCAGTTAGGATGATGCCCACTTCTGATATCAATAAAACTATTGATATCAGTATTTTTAAAAAAGGTCTTAGTTTTAATAATTCCATTTTCAGTAAAGATAGACAGATCTAAAAAATCTATATTAGAGATCCCTATCTTAGGGGTGAAAGTCAGAGACAGGGAATTGTTATTAACATAAGAGAAAAAATCCTTTAATTCTTCTAAGGGACCACGCCAGATGACAAGGACGTCATCTATATAGCGTCTCCAGAGCACCAAGTTTGCACCATAAGGGTTATTAGACCAAATGGATGACCTTTCCCAATAGTCCATGAACACATTGGCATAGCTAGGTGCAAACTTGGTGCCCATTGCCGTGCCCTTAATTTGTAAAAAATATTCCTCATTGAAAATGAAAAAATTATGGGTAAGGATAAAACGTATTGCTTCTTCCAAAAAAGAACAGAAGGAAGATTCAAGACAAGGATCCTCCTCTAAATTCCTCCTAATCATCTATATTTCCACTCTTCCTTTACCATTAACAGTATTATGCTATGTTTTTTTCTGTTATTATTGTATTGTAGATTTATCCCTATTTTGTTCATATTTATTGAGGACCTGGAGGAGTCCTTATCTGCAATACATTTAGTTCAAGGGTAATTATTTAGTTTTCTAATTATTACCCACTATAAGTGTGTTCTATCCACAAGTAGGTGAATCTATACTTTTTCTATTTGGTTATACGTATGAGGCCACACACACTACTGAGCCTCATTTTGACTTGTTTTAAGGACAGTACATCAAAGTTGGATCAGCCTGTAGTGTGTTTTTCCACTTTAATTTTGAATGTGACTCCAAATCCAGACCGCCACGGGTTGAAACATTTGATTTCCATTTTTAAATTTTTGTGTGATTTTGTTGTCAGCACATTCCACTATGTAAAGAACAAAGTATTTCAGAAGAATATTTAATTCATTCAGATCTAGGATGTGTTATTTTTGTGTTCCCTCTATTTTTTTGAGCAGTGCACTTCTAGACTCACACACAATGCTAAAGACATACAAAGCTACACAGACAAACACAATTACACTGCTAGACACAAACAAATTGCAAGACACACATACTTTGTAACATACATTACTACACCCACGCATAGGCGTGCGCAGCCTATTGCATTATTGCATTATTGCACGCCGCGTGTGTGTGTGTGTCTGTGTATATATCTATATATCTATATATATATAGATATAGATATATAGATATATACACACTGTGATCCTTGTCACCAGGTAGCACGGTCCTCTAGGGCAAAAACATGCACAGTCTTTGTAGTTGCAAATACTTCAGGCACTTTATTTGTAAATCCACACAGGATACAGCAGTAAATGAAAATCAAAAGTAACACAAAACCCTATAAACAAACACCTAGCTCGTCTGAGCACTAACTGACTTTAGTTCCCTATCTCTCAGGGTTAAACTAAATACAATATTGCACCAACCTTATTAGAGAGCAACGCTCTGCTATCTAACCTGTTGCTTTCCTTTCTGCACTCCCAGTGCTCCAAGCCAGCCTTGCCCTGACTGCTTTGCTTTCTGCACTCCCAGTGCTCCAAGCCAGCCTTGCCCTGACTGCTTTGCTTTCTGCACTCCCAGTGCTCCAAGCCAGCCTTGCCCTGACTGCTTCCTTTCTGCACTCCCAGTGCTCCAAGCCAGTCTTGCCCTGACTGCTTCCTTTCTGCACTCCAAGTGCCTAGTCTTCTTGACTATATGGAGAGAACAGCCTCTCTCTCCTACCTGCTTCCTGGGAGGAAGCCAGCAATCCCTCTCCTTTTCCTGCCTAGCCGGGAGGAGTTTATTCCCACTGCAACAGCTGATTACCTGCAGCTGAGCAGTGGGTTGGAGACAGTCCAAAAAACCCTGGCCTGGATCTAGGTCTCCCCAGAACACCACTAAACTGTGGAGTGGAGCATTGGCCCACCCTTCTCTCCAAATGCTCCACCCCAGGGGCCCATAACTAAACAATGCGTTGTGTTGTGCAAAACACAAACTACACATACTCCCCCTGGGGTTAAAAGGCCTATCTGCCTTCACTTTATCACATATCCTCCTCCCCAGCTCAAACCCATCGGGTCGAGCGGCCTTAGAACACAAACCGTGAACATTCATAACACCTAGGGCTCTACCAGCCCTGACTAGCTTCTCAGTTACAGGAAGTGGCCTATTGTAGATAGCAGCTACCTTGCTCCCTTGTATTTTAAGGAGCCCCCGCCCAAGTGGATAACCCAAATAGTTATCAAATCCCAGATAACACGTAGCAGTGTTATCGGTCAAACCGGCAGCCTTTACATTATTTACAACTAACCGGACCTTCATCAGGTGTGCTACCCAGTCCACCCTGTTAAACACTACATCAAGGTAGGCAGCTGCATACTCTGGCTGGAACAGAACACTTTTCATCAGAGTAACCTCACTCCCTGAATCTGTCAGTGCTTGTGCACTCTTCCCTACCATCATCACCATTTTTAGCTGTGCTGTACCACCACCAGTCACCATACACATCTTTAAGCAAGTCAATACTATCCTATGCAGAGCCCTTATTCCTATGTCACATTGTATTGGCTCTTCAGTCTCAGGACAGTTATATGCAATATGTCCTTGCATGTGGCAGTTGAAGCATCGGAGGTTTTTCTCAGTCTGGTCTCGTAGCCAAAATAGGACTTTTAGGTACGTTCTACCATCATAGGTATATTGTCCCAGACTTTGTCCTTGTTTTCCAGTTTCCCCGCTTATCTGGCTGCTAGCGGATCTAGGCTGAGGATCAGTACTGTGTGGCTCCTTAGTAGCCAAGTTCGTCTGAATCATCATCTGCTTCCACATCCACAGCAGCTTCTGATTTGATAATCTCTCAACCTTAAAATTAATTTCAAAAGGAAACTTTGCAAAGGCTTGGCGTGTAGCTATACGTCCAATTCCTTCATGAGCTGAATTTTCCAGGTGCTCAACCTCTTCAAGACCTGGTTCTGTCACCAGCTCATCCTTCACTGGAACAAGTCCCTCAGCGAAGGGCTCCACAACATCCTCCATCTGTTCTGCGAATCCCTGGGAACCTGCCTTGCTCCCTATGGGGTTGTCCAGAGACGCAGTCATGGCCTCTCGCTGGGTCATTACAGCCCTGGTATCAAACAGCCGGTCAGGCATTCCGAGTCCCGCCTTTAATTCCATGACTGTGTTCCCAGAATCTGGCAGCAGTTCCCGGTAGTCAGTGCGCCCAGGCTTTGTAGCAGTAGTCTTTGCCAGCAGATCTAGTTCTATGGCTCCCGGACAATCATTCAAATTCTTTGTAACAATACCAGGTGTCTCTGCTACTAAACAGCGCACCACATTGTTATACTCAACTGGAGTGCTTTGCTTCTCTTCATTTTGCTCAGCTCCTTTGCTGTTGTCTTCTCTGACTCCCCAAGTCAGTCTGCTTTTCATGACTTTAACTTGTTCACTTGGGTGAACATCAGCGGCTTCTGCTTCACTTTTTATTACACAAACCGGCTTGACACTGCTGGCCTCAGCCACAGTCTTTTTTTCTCCTTTCTGATTCTTCTGACCTTTCTTACTTTGGCGCATGTCATCAGTGTCGCCATCACTGCCTCTTGGCAATTCCGCTTTTTCCTTTAGCTTTGCTGGACTCTTTACTAACTTTTTTTCTTTTTGTTCCTTTGAGGATCCAGCTGGCTTTTCACCCTCTTCCATTTTATCACTTCTTTCAGGCTCAATTTCATCCTTCTTGCCTTTTAATTCCTGTTCTTTCTCTCCTGCGTGTTTCTCAACAGCACGCTTTGCTGCCTCCATGCTTTTCAGCTTGCTGAAGACTTCTTCTACTGCCTCTGTCATCCCATGCAGGATGTCAGTAGCTTGGTTACAGGGTCCCTTGTCCCCACGCTCCCTGCAGGGGGCAATCTGCAAAACCTCAGTAAGGGCAGCTCTATACTCCTGCTGAGCGTCCCTCAGGTTCTTAACCTGTGCAGCCAGAAAACTGTTTGTGCCTTGTTGTTTAGCCGTTGCCTGTACCACAGCTCTCAGCAGGTCCTCCATTATAGCACCAAGCAGGTAACAGTCTTAAAGGTACAGTGCTGCCTATTTTTTTAGCAGGTCTGCCAAAATAAAAGTCCTCAAGCAGACTACCAGATGACTGGCACACCCACAGACCCTCACTGTGCTACTTTGCCCGCATTCTCCACCATATTGTGATCCTTGTCACCAGGTAGCACGGTCCTCTAGGGCAAAAACATGCACAGTCTTTGTAGTTGCAAATACTTCAGGCACTTTATTTGTAAATCCACACAGGATACAGCAGTAAATGAAAATCAAAAGTAACACAAAACCCTATAAACAAACACCTAGCTCGTCTGAGCACTAACTGACTTTAGTTCCCTATCTCTCAGGGTTAAACTAAACACAATATTGCACCAACCTTATTAGTTAGCAACGCTCTGCTATCTAACCTGTTGCTTTCCTTTCTGCACTCCCAGTGCTCCAAGCCAGCCTTGCCCTGACTGCTTTGCTTTCTGCACTCCCAGTGCTCCAAGCCAGCCTTGCCCTGACTGCTTCCTTTCTGCACTCCCAGTGCTCCAAGCTAGTCTTGCCCTGACTGCTTCCTTTCTGCACTCCAAGTGCCTAGTCTTCTTGACTATATGGAGAGAACAGCCTCTCTCTCCTACCTGCTTCCTGGGAGGAAGCCAGCAATCCCTCTCCTTTTCCTGCCTAGCCGGGAGGAGTTTATTCCCACTGCAACAGCTGATTACCTGCAGCTGAGCAGTGGGTTGGAGACAGTCCAAAAACCCTGGCCTGGATCTAGGTCTCCCCAGAACACCACTAAACTGTGGAGTGGAGCATTGGCCCACCCTTCTCTCCAAGTGCTCCACCCCAGGGGCCCATAACTAAACAATGCGTTGTGTTGTGCAAAACACAAACTACACATACTCCCCCTGGGGTTAAAAGGCCTATCTGCCTTCACTTTATCACAACACACACACACTGCTGTGTGTGCTGTTAGTGTGCTGTGTGCTGTTGTTGTAGAATTATTAGGCCTCTATAAATCTGTAAGGCCCCTTTAAATCCTCTTGCTATACCTCTAAGAGGCCCCCATAGTTTTACAAGAAAGCTTTGTCTATAGAACATAGAATTTGCATGCCAGCAAGAAATAGCTTTGATAAAATGTGTATTTACTAAAAGCCTTGAAACCTAACCTTGAGAAACTAACAAGTGCCAGCTACGCTCTAAATGGATAGCTGCCAAAAGGCCCCTCCCGTCGAGTGAGCTCCTCATGTTAGCAAAATGGCGCTAAAACCTGGAGGAGTTAAAAATGACGAGGATAGTGACCTAAGAATGGGGAGGGCATTTTACTAACATCTTAGCACCTAAGCCAATTAACAATGTCTATTTGTCT